ATGCCATGACAGATCCTGGAGAATTTCTTCTGAGTGACTTCTCAAAGTTTGAGCGCCCCCCTGTGCTTCACCTGGCATTTCAAGCTCTGGACAAATTTAAGAAAGACCATGGACGCTGCCCTGCTGCTGGTTGTGAGGAGGACGCTCAAAGTTTTCTGAAGATTGCTGCTGCTATTAATGAATCTTCAGCTGATCGGAAGCTGGACACTATTGATGAGAAACTATTCCGACAGTTTGCAAGTGGTTCTAAAGCTGTTTTGAACCCTATGGCTGCGATGTTTGGTGGTATTGTTGGTCAAGAAGTTGTGAAGGCTTGTTCAGGGAAGTTCCATCCTCTCAACCAGGTTTGTGCTCTGATCCACCCGTCTTCTTTGTTCTTATGGTCACACATTATCCTTTTCTGATTAAGCTCCAACTTATGCAGTTCTTCTATTTTGATTCTGTTGAATCCCTGCCAACATATCCGTTGGAACCCCAAGACTTGAAGCCATCAAACAACCGCTATGATGCTCAGGTCTCTGTATTTGGTTCCAAGCTTCAGAAGAAAATGGAGGAGGCTAATACTTTTGTTGTAGGGTCTGGTGCTCTTGGATGTGAATTCCTGAAAAACCTTGCGTTAATGGGAGTGTCTTGTAGCAGCAAGGGAAAGTTAACCATAACAGATGATGATATCATTGAGAAAAGTAACTTAAGCCGTCAATTCTTGTTCCGTGACTGGAATATTGGACAGGCAAAGTCTACTGTGGCTGCTACAGCCGCTAGTGCTATCAACCCCAGCCTTCACATTGATGCTCTCCAGAACCGTGCCTGTCCAGATACCGAGAATGTCTTCCATGACACATTCTGGGAGGGCCTAGATGTTGTCATCAATGCACTTGATAATGTCAATGCCAGGATGTATATGGACATGAGGTGCCTGTACTTCCAGAAGCCACTACTTGAGTCAGGTACATTGGGTGCAAAGTGCAATACTCAGATGGTGATTCCTCACCTTACTGAAAATTATGGGGCTTCAAGAGATCCTCCTGAGAAGCAGGCGCCTATGTGCACAGTCCATTCTTTTCCACACAACATTGATCACTGCTTGACATGGGCTCGTTCAGAGTTTGAGGGTTTGCTCGAGAAAACGCCAAATGAAGTGAACTCTTTTCTGTCTAACCCTGCTCAATATGCTGCTGCAATGAGGAAGGCAGGTGATGCTCAAGCAAGAGAATTGCTTGAACGTGTCTCTGAGTGTCTTAACAAGGACCGGTGCAGTACATTTGATGATTGCATAAGCTGGGCCCGACTGAAGTACGTTCTCTTTTCTGCCTTTCTTTGTTGCATTTGCCTTTGCATGAATATTGTTACATTTTTGCTTGGTTCCCAACTGGAGTTTTAGCTGCTGACTTGGTTGTCTAGATAATTCATAACGAAAACATCACATTCTCCTTTCCATGAATTTTGTTACATTTTTGCTAGGTTCTCAACTAGATTTTAAGCTGCTGACTTAGTTGTCTAGATATCCACCAGGCATGGGTGATCAGATTAAGCTGTTGTCACTTTTATATTAACATTCTATTGTGTGACCTGTATAGACTAGTACTGTTGAGAACTTGAGATTAAATCACCTTGCTATGCACGAGGCATTGGCACTAAATATCGTACTTCTATAATTTCTCTTTTTCCTTGGAGGTGTAGCTCATTTTGTGCTTCAGATTTTGGCTCAAGTTAAAGACCTTCTCTTTTCTTTTTTGCCAGATTTGAGGATTATTTCTCAAACCGCGTGAAGCAGCTCACATTCACTTTTCCTGAAGATGCTGCCACTAGTATGGGTGCTCCTTTCTGGTCTGCCCCCAAGCGCTTCCCTCGTGCACTGCAGTTTTCAGCCGCTGATCAGTCCCACCTTAACTTCATTATGTCTGCTTCGATATTGAGAGCGGAGTCATTTGGGGTTGCTATACCTGAATGGGCAAAGGATACTAGTAAGCTGGCTGATGTAGTAAAGAAGATTGCAGTTCCTACATTCGAGCCAAAGCAAGGGGTTAATATTGTGACAGATGAGAAGGCATCCAATCTTTCCAGCACCTCAGTTGATGATGTCGCCGTTATTGAAGACCTTCTGGCTAAGTTGCAAGAATATGCCAAGGGGCTACCTCCAGGATTCCAAATGAAACCTATCCAATTTGAGAAGGTAATTATTCCAAATATTACATCAGCAATTCCTAGGCTTAAAAATGTTCTTCACAAAGGCTCACAAGTTCTTATATCCACATTACAACCCTTCTGTACTCTTCAGCATGTAACAATGCCTTGAGTTTGCTTATACAGGATGATGACAGCAACTTCCACATGGATTTAATATCCGGATTAGCAAACATGCGCGCAAGGAACTACAGCATCCCAGAGGTCGACAAGCTGAAGGCCAAGTTCATCGCAGGCAGGATCATCCCAGCCATCGCAACCTCGACCGCCATGGCCACGGGACTGGTGTGCCTCGAGCTGTACAAGGTCATCGCCGGCGAGCACCCCGTCGAGGACTACCGCAACACATTCGCAAACCTCGCCCTGCCCCTCTTCTCGATGGCCGAGCCGGTCCCGCCCAAGGTCATGAAGCACAAGGAGACGAGCTGGACCGTGTGGGACCGGTGGTCCGTCCAGGGCAACCTCACCCTTGCCGAGCTCCTCCAGTGGTTCGCTGACAAGGGCCTCACCGCCTACAGCATCTCGTGCGGCACCTCCCTGCTGTACAACAACATGTTTGCGAGGCACAAGGACCGGCTGGCCAAGAAGGTGGTTGACATCGCCAGGGAGGTGGCCAAGGTGGACGTCCCCGAGTACCGGAGGCACCTGGACATCGGCGTGGCCTGCGAGGACGAGGACGAGAACGACGTCGATATCCCCCTCGTGTCGGTCTACTTCCGCTAGTCGGTCGTCGAGATAAGAAGCCCTGCCGCATCTCCAAAACCCTGTTGGCTTGTGAAAGCCACTGATGTAGTTTAGCCGCTGCTCTCTTCGCGCTGATAGCTCTATCATGGTCACCTAAGATGCTCTCTCTGTGTGGTATACTGGTCCTGCAGATATTTGCTCGTTGGTCGCAGTCATATAGTTGGAGTTGGAGTTGGAGGAATGAACAACAGACACATCGGTTATGGTTGATTGACAGGTTACCAACATTTGGTAGTACCACCTTTTACCTTTATATGTGCGCATTGTCATCTTTCATCTCCAGTGCTCTCACTCGGTCTTCTTGCTGAAACTGTGCCCTATATATTTTCAGATGCACTTTTAGATATCTAAAAGCCAGATTTTTGGTCTGGCTTAGAAAGCTGAGGTCCTGGCATCTCGAGCGCAGTTTAGGTGCTAATATTAGCAATTTTTATGCAGTCTGGGATACAACGCTGGCAGACGTGTAGCGCCTATCTGTGAGACGTTGCACAGTGTAGTGTGGCGCCTTCGTATCGGGCACAAAAAGGTCAGCCGCGTGAAAATAGTTTCACAGGCAGTTCATTTTGTGATTTGATTTCGTCCACAGGTCAAATTTATCAAATTTGCCCTAATAATGCATGAGTCATGACTGCATCACGTCACCTGATACTATATTTTTGTTACTCTCTTTCGTAGCTCAAAGATCGTGTCGACACCGAAACGAGGCAAGATCGAGTATTTTATCCTGCGTCGTCAGACGCTGTAGTAGTACTACTAAGTTAATCCACTCGTTAACGGTCGACGGCGAGCTGGAATGGGTCACGGATAACCGCCACTTGATTGTAAAGTAATTCGGGGGGCAGTTGATGAGGAGAGCCAAGGAGGATCACGTCCAAATCGGTGATCAATGCGGGCATGTGAGTCTTGGTATTCTAATTAATTTGCGATTGAAGAAGAATACTGTTGCTATAGCTAGTCACGGTCAACTGCTCTGCTTCTGGGGTAGCACCTCCCATCCGTGTAAAGCAAATTATTATTACGAGGTACTCCCTGTGTTCCAAAATTCTTGTCTTAGATTCGTCTAAATACGGATGTATCAAGTCATTGTTTTAGTATTAAATACATTCATATTTAGACAAATTTAAGACAAGAATTTTGGGACGGAGGGAATACTAGCATAGGTTGCGCCAAGTAAACAAACCGTCGTGCTTGGTCTCCCGGTCCATGTCCGCACGCACGCACGAGTTGAATTTCCACGTTATTTTCAAGGGGGTGGCTAGCTCTCCACGTTATTTTCAATATAAGCGTTAGTATGTACGGATTGGAATTAGCGAACAAACACATTAAAACATGTCTACATTTATCTGAATTGCCAAACGTCCAAAAAAACTCTAGATAATTCATAGTCCACCGCCACTACTTCAGAATTTATCTGAATTTGTTCATTTATCTGAATTAGCGAACAAACACACTAAAACACACTAAAACATGCAGCAGGGGCGTCGGCGCAAGCTTTGGCTCAAGACTTTTAAACACTTCGCGAACCATGACCCCGCGATTTGCAAATCTTCTTCCTTTTCGCTCTTTTTTGGCCTGCTTTACATGATTCCCTTTTAATTTCCTTTGCTTCAGCCGGAAGAGAAAAGGAGACTATAAAGAAAATAAACATGAAAGGAAAGCATTTAAAACAGGCCAAAAAAACACAGGAGGAACAACAACAAGATACGAAATGAACAGCCTTTTTTGCCAAGCTTTAATGATATACCTTAAGAAAATAAACAGGAAAGGAAAGCATTCATTTATATTTATAGGAAAATGAGTGACGTTTGTCGCCGCGCTGGCCGGTCTCTTTCGCCCACCTTTCTCCCCCCTTGGCCTTGGCCGCGTCCAACCTCTTTCCTCCACCGCTCACGCGCTTCCCTTCCCAGATCCCCCCACCCCCTCCCTCGCCACCAAACCACCAATACACCGAGCAGCTTCACATTCTTCTCTCTCTCCTCCCATTCGGTCCTCCCCGCGACTCGCTCCAGCCACATGCCACTGCCCCGTGCTCGCCTCGCCGCTGCCATTCCTCCCCACGAGCTGCCGTGCTGATGATGGACGACCCGCCGCCCTCGCTCCACCGGCTTCTCCTGCCGCCGCTGCTTCTAGTGCTGCTGGTGCTGGTATCCGTCTCCTGCCCGCTCGCCCACGGCAGCCCAGGTCCGCCGTCTTCTCCATGGATTTTCGCTTTGCTTGCTTGCTTGTTTCTTTCTTTCTTGGACTACTTCCGGTGATCCAGGTGAGCTGATTCTAGGCGCTCTTGGTTTGCGCAGCGACTGGAGGAGGACTCGGTGCCGAGGAATGGACCGCGAGGACGGATGCCGCTTCCGTTCAACTCAGGTGAGCTTGCGAATCCGCGGCGCCCTTGGTGATTTTGTTACTTCTGTTACTCTATTAGTCATGGAATTCGAGAGAGCTTGGGTTCGAATTTTATTTTCTTGATTTTTATCGGGGTGTCTGCAACTGTATAACTATAAATTGGCTTGCTCCTGGGTGTTGTTGGTTGGTGATTCGGCAATGATTTGAAGCGGTCTGGCTTATCAGCCGGTGGTTAGGTGGAGCCGGGTCGTTATAGTCTTGGTACAGGAGGGGGAAAGGTGGCACAAATCTGAGGGGTGGCCATGTTTCTGCCTGATTGCTCCAATCATTTTCTTCTTCTGGTATCTACCAATCATGCCAGCATCTGAAACGGGACTACCAAATCTGAATTGGCACTGTTTTTTTTATATAATGATCACCATACAGCTCGAGATGAACATATGGTTAGCTCTTAGCTGAATAGCCTGTTCATACATCTGGAAGTGTCAATATGAGTAAAATTTATTTATGACGATCAAAGTGTTTCTTACTCAAGTGTAAGGTGTGCTCACAGTTGAAGAGACGAGCCACCAAATATGCAGGCACTGATATTTTCTTTGTTCTGCTTCATGTGCTGTTGACCCATCAGAAATTCGCATCCGAGAAGACTGCTGCAGGTAGGCGGTGGAAACCACCTTCCACCACAGTTCCTGCAGCCGAGGCACAGGCACCACAGAAGAACACACTCGCCCGCTCCATCGCCCGCGCCGTTCACCGCTCCATCACCATCGCCTTCAGCATTTCGCCCATCGCTAGCCCCTCCACAATTGGCCTGGCCTCTCCCTTCCACCCCACAGCCAAGCCATGATCCTCAAGTTGGTGCCCCAGTCAACCCTTTGCATAAGCATTCCTGGAGAGCCTACGGTTTGGTCTCGGCAGGTGGCGCTGCTTTCCTTGTCATGGCAGCGGTGTTTGCTGTGTACTGCCGGGCGAAGAAAGTGGGTACTGTGAGGCCTTGGGTGACAGGGTTAAGCGGGCAACTGCAGCGAGCATTTGTGACAGGTAACCATCTTTCTATTTGTGCTTATTTGTAATTGTGTACAATATTTAGAGTACTTCGGTTGTACCTTAACACATGACCAATCATGTTTTCCAGGTGTGCCTTCACTGAAACGGTCAGAGCTGGAAGCAGCCTGTGAGGATTTCAGCAATATAATTGGTTCTACGGCTAACTGCATGCTGTATAAGGGAACATTGTCAAGCGGAGTTGAAATAGCGGTTGTGTCAAGTTTAATATCATCCAGGAATGATTGGTCAAAAGAATGTGAATCCCAGTACAGGAAAAAGGTAAACTGCCACTGACCTCCTTATGCACACATATATTCTGCCTAATACACATTGACTGAAACGGCTATGGTCTCAGATCTCGAGTTTATCCAAAGTGGGCCACAAGAACTTCATCAATCTGCTTGGCTACTGTGAAGAAGAAAATCCTTTCACCAGAGCTATGGTGTTTGAATATGCTCCGAATGGGACCCTTTTCGAGCATCTCCATGGTAAGTGTGTACATAATATAATATATCCTTCTAATTTTTCTCTCTGTCAACAGAATGATTCAGACACTCCAACAATTTCAGTATTTGATAATGCTTTTGATTGTGTTGCAGTTAGAGAAGCTGAGAACTTGGACTGGATGGCCCGACTTAGAATATCGATGGGGATAGCATACTGCCTCGAGCAAATGCACAAGCTGAATCCACCCGTCGTGCCGCGGAGCTTCGACTCAACAACCATCCACCTCACCGATGATTTTGCCGCAAAGGTTTCAGATCTTGATTTCTGGAATGGCACCAAGGGATCTGATTCCGTCGCCGACGACTGCATCATGTTAGACACGGAGAGCATCGTGCATCAGTACGGCATTATACTGCTGGAGATATTAACCGGGAGAGCGCCCTTCCCTGAGCAAGACCTGCCACTCGATCAGTGGGCGTCCATCTATTTTGAAGGCAAGATGCCTCTTGCAGAGCTGATCGACTCGAGCCTGGGCTCCTTCCCTGAGGAAACCGCGCGCGCGTTGTGCGACGTCGCGCGGTCCTGCGTCGACCCGGACCCGAGCAAGAGACCGCGGATGGCGCAGGTGGCGGCGCAGATGAAGGAGATCACGGCGGTGGGGCCCGAGGGCGCGACCCCGAAGGTGTCGCCGCTGTGGTGGGCCGAGCTTGAGATCATGTCTGCTGAGGCTACCTGAATGGTGAATCCCTTGGTCAGTCCAGTCCATTTCCCCCTGTTGTGATGATGGATTCTTTGGTTTGCTTTGTTGCTCCTTGTACTGAAAAGTTGGTTGTGGCTTTGGGCTTGAACGTGTAGTAGTGGGTTAGTGGCATTGTAATGAGGTGTCCTGCCGGCAAATTTAGTGGAAGTAAACGGGGAGATGTGTGGTTTACGCCATGTTTGTCTATGATTTGATCAATTCTTGGGCAAACATCTACTCTCTCCGTTTTAAAATAGATGACTCAACTCATCTATTTTTCGATAACCTGGCGATGTTCCAGTGGACATGCTCTGGCGGTCTCCGTCCACCTTGCTCACCTAACCAGCGTCCCTTACAAGACGTCGAAGTGGAAGCTGGGACTGCATCACCCGTGCAAAGGGAGAAGCACCGAGTTTAAGTCCGAACAAAAACGGACGCGGATTTTTGAGACATGGTGCCACGCGAGGATGAAATCTCGGCAGTCCATGCATGTTGTGGGATTAGCACTTAATATAGTGATTAAATGAATACATGAACGCCACAAGTAGGTTAATTCGGCAAATACGTGTATATTAGTTGGTGGCTGGGCATCTTAACGAATTGGATAGTATGACCAAACCTTTATTCATTAACTTCTCTATGTTGCTGGGCTGGGAGAGGCAGTATCTTGATGAGACCATTTAAGATGGCTGGTGTGAAATGTCGGTGAGGTGGAGTTTAATTCACCAACACCATGCATCTGCACCATTTAATCGATGGAGTTTCGCCAGATAATGTTCTGTTCTCTGTTATCCCAACCAGGGCAGGCTAGTGAAGCAGTAAATAACAATAGTTTAAGTGCAAGTGTGGTGTCTAAGCTGCTTAGATCACCGAAGTGAATACTAACGAGACACTATGTGTGTTGTATTAGAAGTAACCTTGTGTGAGATATCGCAAAGTCCTGTCTTGGAAACATCCCCTTGCGTCCCTCTTCATGAGGTGGCGACTCGGAAAACCTACCGCGCCACCGGTCCCCTCGCGAGGAAGTTTTATCTTTTCATAATTACTAAAAAAATCCGATAAAAATTTCTTCAGGAAGCTTTTTATATGAGTAAAACATGGCATTGGAAAATGTTTAATTAATTCATAGTGCTGAAATTAATTAATATATTACCTAATGCGAAACTGAGCAGGCAGCATTATAATAAACATATTGTGAGGAACAGTAATCTGAATAGTACTGAACTGTTTTTAGTAACTTTAAGATGATAAGTTCAGTTGGGAAATAACTGATATTTTTGTTCGGTAATCTTCATAGTACAAATACCAAAACATTTATTATAATAAACAAATTATACTGCATGGTGCATGGACAAACCATTCCGCACAACAGTACAATTTCAGATTTAGTAATCTTCATAAACTAGTAAAATGACAAAGTGGTAATGTGAAATTTTTGCTGGCCATTGAGTACAAATTCTGGAGCTACAACGACTAGATGCCGAAAGTCAAGGATGTGTAAGGGTTGGCGGCTCACTGGTTTAATGCGTGAGAGCCTATGCCTCGGTTCAATGCCCTCGCCTGCCATTTACTGCGCTTGTCAGGTGCAATCATGGGAGAACATGCGGTGTGGATGCGCGTAGTCGCATGTTCACTCGGAATTATACAAAAACACTCTAATAGAATTTAAATTTGCACTATGGGACCCTCCCTTTTGGGGAAGGACCCTTTAAAAATTAGCGTATGCTGCTCATTGTGGCGCCCACACGGTATTCTTTAGTAAAAGGCGAAAGAATAGTTCGCTTTGTGGTCACCACGCAGCTGCGTGCCTTCCACCGCTGGCCCTGGCTGCCCTCTTATACCTCTCGCTCGCCACCGATTCACCCACGGCAAGCGATGTGGGACTAAACGAGCGACTCCGCTGGCAGCTCCATTCGATCGATCTCCCACGCTGCGGCCTCCACAGCAAAACAGGCCCGACGCCGCCACCAACTCACTCACTAGGACTGGGCCTGGGCACGACTGAACCGGAAAACTGACTGGGCTTGGACCAGCGTTGTTTACTTGTTTATTAGGCCTCGGTATAAGAACATCGAATTGATAAAATGAAAATATCGGCATCTAAAAAAAGGGTAAAACATTTTTTTTGAAATAAGGTAAAAAAGAAATCAAAAAACACATTCTGAAATTTCATAGATAAGTGCGTAGCTGCAAACGTGACCCAAGTGGGAGTAAGCCGTTTTTTCCAACAAAACTTTTTCCCCAAATGCGGACCAAAAAATAGTATCACCTCGGATAGAAGAAAAATTCTCAAAATAATAATATGGGTGAACAGATAAAAAATCGGAAAAATGCACTTAGCTTTACTATTACTATAATAATAATAATAATAATAATGATGATGATGATGATGATGATGATGATGATGATGATGATGATGATGATGATATAATAATAATTAATAAGTAACAAGTGTGTATATGTATAGGTATAAGTATAGGTATATACTCCCCCCTAAAGAAATATAAGAGCTTTTAGATCATTAAAGTAGTGATCTAAACGCTCTTATATTAGCTTACGAAGGGGGTATTTATTGATCAAATTTGTCTACATATATGGGATCAACCATCTTATTTCAGTATAGGCCCACACATTATCCTTAATATAGGAATAAAAAGACTCTGAAGTAGGAAACTCTTTTCTCGTCTAGCATAACTGAATACTGCAAATCAAGTCAAAAGTGCTTATATGCTTAACATTTTTTGTAAGGGTTTTATCTATCATTTTTCAGGTCACACTATCACAATTATGAAGTCAGCATCAGCTTTCATTGTTGTACTGGCTTTGTTTTTCCTTACCACGCTCCAAGCACTGGTTTATTGGGCTTATGACTATGGCAGTGGAAACTATGTGGTGGCCATCAAGTACGAGCAAAACACCAGTGAACTGTCTACCACACTACTTGAGGCGGCCTCCTCGTCCCCTTTCATATACAGGGAGATTGTTGGTTCCAGCTAGGAGAACAAAACATACGCCTAAGCGACTTGTAGTGTTGATACAGAAGCATATGATTGCAGTAGATGTCTAACTCAAAATATCATAATTAATCTTGTACATTTATACACATATTGGGGGAGGGGGCATTGGCCCCCTTGGCCCCAATGAGCCTTGACAATTGACATAGTGTCCGAACTACATGTTGCCTAGTGTAACATAATGAGAGATATCATGATAAGGTATTAACATACTAATGAGTGTCCATCTTTTTAGTTTGAAAGTTTTGTACGTATAATATGTTTTTCTATTCATCTTCAGGTGGAAAAATTCATAATGCTCGACAATCTGCACTACACATGCAGCCATGTGATGGAGATCAAACAAGTAAGCATGCATTTGGATCTCAAGCAAGCCTAAATCTAGCCTCGCCCAGCCTGGATAAATATTTGGTGCAGTAGAAAAAGGTAGCTTTGCCTAGCAAACTGGCCTGCATGGCTAGAAAATCCACGCCTGTACAGGAGAGCCGATTTGGCTCGCCTCCATCGGCAAGAATTGAGCACAAGCCTATTAAGCAAGTAACTGGCGTTGTGATCATGGTTTAGTGGAGGCTAGGCAAATAAACCAAACAAGTAGCCTTGCTCGTATGAGCTAAATCCTATTGTCTGGCTGGGCATGTTTAGTTAGAGAACAAAACACACCCTAAGTTCTTTACCCTTGCATCAATGCCAAAATATAATCTAAGATTTCTCTTTAGTGCTCTCCAAATTTACATGAATATTTGGCTTGTACAAAACATAAAGCTTCCGACCTGAAAGGGCTAGTTATCGACTAGAGGGGGGGCGTGAATAGGCAATTTTTATGAAAGTCTTCAAAACGTGGGAGTTTCGAAGACAAACAATAGAAACAACACTATTCGAATGCAGCGGAAGGTAGACTACACTAGACAAGCCATAGTCAAGTATTGAATGAAGTGAAAGCACGAAGACTAATAGCAACTAGGTAGTAAAGATCAGAATGGAAGATAGTATGAAGCCAATCAGAATAGGTAGTCACACAGTTAAGTCAAACAGATAATGCAAGCAGGCAATGACTTCACAAAGACAAACTGTTAAGTAGAGAGAAGTAAGAGATAGAACCAGTGGCTTCAAAAGAACAGGGATTTGTTCGACCAGTTCCAGTTGCCGTGACAATTGTACGTCTGGTTAGGGAGGCTGAGATTCAACTCAGAAGACCGTGTCTTCACCTTATTCCCCTTGAGCTAAGGACACCTAGTCCCCGCCCAATCACTCTGGTAAGTCTTCAAGGTAGACTTCCGAACCTTCACAGACTTCGTTCACCGGCAATCCACAATGACTCTTGGATGCTCAGAACGCGACGCCTAACCGGCTGGAGGATTCACAGTCCTCAAGTGTAACAAGTCTTCAGATCACGCGGACAGAAAGACTTCAGTGATGCCAAACACTCTTTGGGCTCTGGGTGGTTTGGGCTTTGTCCACGCAAGGATTCTCTCTCGAAAGCTTCGGCGGTGGGTTGCTCTCAAACGACAAATACCGTGTACTAACTCTGAGCAGCCACCAATTTATGGTGTAAGGGGTGGGCTATTTTCTTCTGTGGCTTCTCGCGCTTCTTGGAGATGCGAGAGAGATCTTCAGAGGTGTTACTGGGAGCAGGAGGGGCAGTTGCCAATGGCTTCACTCGAGAAGCTTTTGGAGCAGCAGTTGGTTTTGAAGCCTTAGCTTTCTTTTGCTTCTGCGTCTTAGGAGGAGCTGGAGCATCATCAGTGTCAGCATCATCATCAGAATGATCCACTTTTGCACCTTGGACAGCAATGTGTGTGATGAGGCTTGCAAGGTTGTAGAAGGGGCCGATCCTCTTCTCATTGGCTTCACGGGTGCCATCTTCCCGAGGTGAAGAAGGACCAGGGTTGAAGTCAAGTCCTAATGCCTTCTTGTTCTTCCCAGCAGAGTCTTTGGCGAACTGGTAGTTGCGCTTGAACAGATGGTCTTCACGGCACCACAGCA